CACAGACATGAAGAAATATGTTTTTGACTTGAATTCTTGGGATCATGACAGTAATGATCCACACCAAAATCTTGTCAAGGTGTTTTAAAAGTTACCTTTCTACAAATCTATTAGATTCTCCAAAATATCATAATAAATATCGTACAGTGAGATGTATATTATGATAATATCGTACTGAGAGATTTGGATATCGTTACATCTCTACTGACAGAATGTTCTAAAACCATACGGTGAGTGAAAAGGGTTAACATTTCAGATTTAGCTCTGAAACTTTGTAAGTTTTCAAATGTTGTCCGTGAAAAAAAGTGGGAACCCTGTTTAAAGCAAATGTCAATCAAAACTAATCCAGCTCTAGATTAGAACTAAACAAATGTGAGGTAGGACAGAATAAAAGTCAAGGCAGGACTCACCTAGGACTAGACGAGATCCAAACCTGGACTGAAAAAAAGACTAAAGCAGGACTGAAGTTTTGAAGATGAACAGTTTTGTGTTTGCCTCTCGCTGAATAATGCAGCAGAATCTTTCTCCTGTGAGCTCCAGCGCTTTGAGACCGGAGCTGGATACAAGTGTTTTATTATTTATTGAAGAAAATGTGATTTATTTAAATGCTCCTAAACAAAAACAGGCTCTGTGCTTTTGGACGCCGCTCCATCAGATTTCATAATGTTTTTAAAGTGCACAGGGACTCTCTCATGAATAATGTGTCTATTGTCCCAGTTCAGTGTCTGACTCTGAACTCACCCAGCCCACCAATTTATCTGTTTAACAACTCAGCTATTCTCATCAGCCAGTCACAGCCAGATACTTATCCATCCACAACATCACCAATTAACATCAATAAATGGAGCATCATGTCCAGTGTTAAGAATACATCAGCAGTACAGTTGTTCTCAGTAAAAGTTCTGTTTGATTTGAACATGTTTACCTCATATGTCTGGACACAGTTGGGTTTATGGAATTTAAAGTCACAGTCTTACAAACAGAACATCTGACACAGGGATACAGGAGGCCGGTAGGGCATCTGACACATGTTGATGGTGTTGTTTCTCTCTCAGATGTGGCTGAAGCCGTGTAAGCGTCAGGACGTCCCTCAGAGGCTCAGTTACTTGTGTCCCGTTTACAAGACGAGCGAGAGACGAGGCACTCTGTCCACCACCGGACACTCCACCAACTACGTGATCGCCATGACGCTGGACACCGACCTACCCCCCGAGCACTGGATCAGGAGGGGCGTGGCTCTGCTCTGCCAGCTCAGCTCATAGTACGACTACTACAGAGTATACAGAGTATACGGAGTATATACACAAGTCCAAAGTTAGATGTTTGTGGATGTATTTTTGTTTCAATTTCAACAGTTCTGATTTGCCAACACACCTTTAAAGAAATAAACAGACTTCATTAGCTCAGCCTCAGAGTCTTTTTTTTTTTTTACAGTGTACAGCAGAGGTGGGACTTGCAAGTCGTGACTTTTTCTCAAGTCAGATTGAGTCACTAGTTACAGGACTTATAGGACTTATTGGACTTGACAAAATGCACTAAGACTTCAACTTGGACTTGATGGTCAAAGACTTGGGACTTGACTTGGACTTGACTCAAGACTTATTTGAGACTTGCAAATCAACGACATGGTCCTAGCTCTGGTGTACAGCTAAACTAAGTCAGATGCCCGTTCACATTCTTATGTAGTGACTGTTTTCCTGAACCTCCAGGTGAACCTGCAGGAGTGTGATGAAACTTCTCTCTTTAATCTCAAAATCTCATGACATGTTTATGAAGCTAAAGCGTCTGCATTAAAACAAAGACCAACTCAACATGAGTTTGTTTTGAGAAGAACTTTGTTTTTTCCACACACCCGACAAGTCAGACGTTTGAAGACGAGAGAGGAGGACGTACTTTGACTAATGCTTGTTTATTGAAGCACAAACAGCATCAATGGCACTTTACATTTACACATTTAATCCACAATGAACATTTGTTCAACTAAAACAATGGACCTTCATTTAGAGAAAACTCACTCTGGACCGTCCAGGTGTGAGGCGGCTCCTGGTCCGGCCTCACAGCGGTTCAGTCTGGACATGGCAGAATGAGGATTTGTACCTTTGCATTAAATGTTGTAATGGTCGTTTTTACAGTGAGTCTGTGTCACACGGTGACAGTAAAGAACCCACACACACAGGAATGTGAGAGCAGAGGTCAGAGGTCAGGGGTCAGAAGGAGCTGTGCTGTCAGAGAAGATCTCGCTGGTTTCACATCACAACATTCTATGAGCCTATTATATTTAACAGAGATGGAGCAGCTCACATGCAGATCTGTGTGAGTGACACTGAGCTCTTGACTTCAGTCACAAATAGAAATGATCAGGTTCAACATTTGTATTTTTACCTTTTATAAATTTCATGGTAAAGTCCAAAGTGATCAACAGGGAAACATTGTGGAGTGGAGCAGCAGCAGCTCCTCCAAACCCTCCCCCCAGCATCATTTAAAAACTAAACAGATTGTC